TTTAAGTCCAAGTTCAAAGTGCCAGGCTCCAGGGGCTGGGTGAAAGCCCCTCAACCTTGGGGTCCAGCTCTGCCTCCTGCTCCCAGCCCACGGAGCTAGAGGTGTTTCTTCACTCAGATAGCTGCTGGCTGCTGAGGCTGAGAAACCCCACAGTTGACAAGTCCCGATGTTACCAATCCACATGGCAGGCCATTAACTTAAGTCCACTGTAAGTCCCAAGGTCAGCAGATCAGAGCAGGCTGCTAAGCAGTGACACGGCTACATGCAGGGTCCAAGCATACCACAGGCTAGAGACCATTCTCAAAGCTTCTCCTCAAATACAGGAAGCAGACCATATCCCAAAGACAGCTACTCAGCTGCTTGTGGTAGATCCCACCATGGAGGTGATTGCTAGTCTCATCATGGGGAATAACTACCACCAGCTGCCCAGGCACTCAACCAGGCCCATCCCAGTTGACACACAAACTGAACTACCACAGTTCCACCCCTTGTCAACTTGGCACCTGTACAGATCTTAAATGGGTGGTATCTGTACAGGTCTCCTCCACTGGGTGGCTCCAGTCCCCTAGTTCCTCTAAGTGGCGACCTCAACCCCTTGGCTTGGTGGCCCCCGTTCCTCTCCCTCTTGGGCATGGCAGCCCCGCCCCCTCACTCTTGGGCAGCGGCTATGGCTCCACCCCACTGGCTCACATGAGTGAGCAGCCCCACACTCCAGAACCAAGTTGGTGAAGGCCTGGCTCTTTGAAACCTAGAGGGGGGGTGTGGTGGTTCCACCTCCAAAGGCCATGGCAGCTCTTAAGGCCGAGGCAGCTCTGCTTCCATTTCCTTGGTCTCTCTGCTTCTGCCGATTAATGCCCGAGGGCAATCCACTCCATCAGAAATCTTTCTGCCCAAAAGACATTTGCCTTTCTTGCTCCGTGGGGTGGCCAACCTGCTACTCCATTTTATGCCAGTCTTCTCTACCAATTAATGCCCAAAGGCAACCCACTCCACCAGGAAGCCGTGTACCCAATGGCACCCGGTTTTCTCCTCCGTGGGTTGGTAAGGCTGTCGCTGTCTCATGCTGGTTCTCTCAGCTCTGCTCCCGCCATCTCTCATGCTGGTCTCTGGGCTCTGCTCCTGCTGTCTGTCATGCCATATGCTGAGGTCTCTCTGCCAGGGTTTCGGGTCAAGGACGCACTCCACTCATGTTTCCAAATTTTAGGTATCTGTCAGAGCAGCACCCCATTCTCTCAAACCAAATTCTGCTCTGGTTACCTAGTGCTGCTCTGACAAGAATATACCACAAATGGGATGGCCTTAACAAACAGGAGTTTATTCTTACAATTTGGAGGCTTTAAGTCTAAGTTCAAAGTGTCAGGCTCTAGGGGCTGGGTGAAAGCCCCTCAACCTTGGGGTCCAGCTCTGCCTCCTGCTCCCGGCCCACTGGAACTAGAGGTGTTTCTTCACTCAGACAGCTGCTAGCTGCTGAGGCTGAGAAGCCCCAAGGTTGACAAATAAAAAGGCACAGTCCTGATGTTACCAATCCACACAGCAGGCCATTAACTTAAGTCCACTGTAAGTCCCAAGGTCGGCAGAGCATGGCAGGCTGCTGAACAAAGACACAGCTACATGCAGGGTCCAAGTGTGCCATGGGCTAGAGACCATTCTCAAAGCTTCTCCTTACATACAGGAAGCAGACCACATCCCAAAGGCAGCTACTCAGCTGCTTGTGGTAGATTCCACCATGGAGGTCACTCCAGTCTCTTCATGAGGAATAACTACCACCAGCTGCCCAGGTACTCAACCAGGCCCAGCCAAGTTGACACACAAAATGAACTACCACACTATCTATAAAACTAACATAAAGGAGCCCTGGAGCACAGTGGCTAAGCTCTTGGCTGCTAACTGAAAAGCAGGCAGTTTGAACCCACTAGCCACTCTGCAGGGGAAAGACGCGGTAGTCTATTCTGTAAAGATTACAGACTTTGAGGCAGTTCTTCTCAGTCCTGTAGGGATTCTATGAGTTAGAAGTGACTCAATGGCAATAGGCATAAAACTAACAAGGGGTTAATATCTCAACTATAGAAGGAATTTCTACAAAATCAACAAGAAAAAGACTGCAACTGCAATAGGAAAATGGGCAAAGGCCATCAATAGACAATTAACAAAAGAGGAAACCCAATAGAGGCTGACAGGTATATGACAATATGTAAAAACTCATTAGTTATCAGAGAAACTAATATAAATTAAAACAATGAGCTATCATTTTATATTTATTTAGATTGGCAAAAAATGAGAAAGCTGGAAAATGGTGAGAATTGGCCATCCTCTTTCTGGTAACTGGGCCATTTGGAAAATATAAGCAGCTGACAGACATTATTTATGGTCCTGTATTATACCCCACAGGACCAGGCAGCATTTCATTTCATTGTCCAGGGTCACTATGTGAGAAGTAACTTGACGGCACCTAGCAACAACATTATGCCCCACAGGCACTGTATGTATTGACAGAAACCTCAAGTTGAAAGCAACAAATTATAAAATTATCTCCAAAGGAATTTTCTTTTGTTATCTGTCCCTCCAAAACATGTTGGCTCTGTAACAAAATGCATACATTCAAATTCCTGCCAAAACATTTTATGAAAAAAAACAAACTAGACGTTTGGAATCTAGATACTGAAAGTGAAAAGACCAATGCCCCTTTCTCATAGATTCCTATCAGATTGATTTCTTACCTTTAAAAAAGTTTAGATCAGGGTATCAGAGAGTGAAAGAACAATCAAGACCAAGGCAATGGTGCCACAAGTAGGAGATAAGCCCTATGGACCTATGGATAGGTGGAGGGTAAAACTGTAAATTACAGTGGCAAAGGACACTGAAAGTACAATTTCCAAGGGGCAGAAGCTAAGGAAATGTATAATGTGGGAAAGGAGTACCAGTGCCAAATAAAGTGAGGAAGCACCAACCCAGGACACTACCCTGGCTTTGCCATCTTTTAGAACAGCACTGTCACTAGTAGTTGAATACCCTAGAAAAATAATTTCTATCTAAATTACTCCTGAAAAAGCAGTCAAGATTTCTTAACCCATCTTTTTCTCTCTTGTTTACTAGAAAAAAAGGGTAAGCAATTGAAGAATCATTAGACATCTGAGGTAGGCAACTCTTCTCACTCTGTGAATACTGCAGTGTCAAAGGAAAAGCATTGCAAATGTCTATGTTTTCTAAAATAAAACTCTGCATTGTTTTTTTTTCCTTAGGGAAAAAGATTATCCTTGTATTTAACAGTGGAGCTTCTGCAGTCAGACAGAACTTAGATTAAATCATGTTCCCTGAGTGTACTAGCCTCAATCTCCTGATCTACAAAGTATGTCAGAAGTACTGTCTTACAGGATGGATGCAGGCATAAGATGAGCTAATATATGTAAAACATTTTTCATGCCTGACACAAAGCAACAAAACCAAACCCACTGCTATCAAGTCGGATCTGACTCATAGACCTCTCCTTGGGTTTCTGAGGCAGCATCACTATGGAAGTAGACTGCCCAACCTTCTTTCTGAGGAGTGGCTGGTGGGTTTGAACCGCCAGCTTTCTGGTTAACGCAGTCAAATGCCTTAGGCACTATGGTACCAGAGCTCCCGACACCAAGCAAGTGGTCCTTAAATGTTAGCTATTAATAGCTGTCATTGTAAAATATATCCTCATTGTAGGCAACGATCCAGAGGGAAACATTACCTCTTTGTTTTCTTGAATATAAATTTGAAAATTCCCTTGTTCAAGATGGGGGGAGGGCAACCTCTTTTCCCTTTATAAAGCCTGTCAACCTACCAATAGTAGCGATTTCAAATCACTTAATACTTTATATAAAAATCCTAATAAAATCTATATTTTGGAGAAAATGAAAAGAGGAAACTCTCTATCCTAAAATAGCATTCACATAAAAATAGCTCATCCTTTTGTCTACATGGAGAGGTACTGTTCTACTGATTTTCCTGGTACTACTGGAATTCATAGTAAGACTCCCCTTGAATTTTTTTCTTTTCCAAGTAGATTTTACAAAGCAAATTTGAAGCAAGGGAACAGCATTTCCTTTGTACTCTTTCAGCAACCTGGAAAGAATTTGTTTTTTCTCTTATGCACCAAGGAGATAATCAGCCCAAACACTCTACCAGCAGCAGTTTCATTTTAATCCCATCACCTTTACAAGGTTACAGATGCCCTTGGAAATCATGATTAACCAGCATGTCAGAGCCAGTAGGAGGAGAAATGTGCTGTATTTTACAGAGGCTGTCCAGGGTCACTTCCATCAGAGAAGAATATTATTACATAATTCACCATCTCTACTCTATCCTCTCCAAAAAGGCTACAAAGAAAACACAGTTATTAAGCAATCACCTAAGATAGTTGTTGTCTCTCCCATCATCTGAGCAAGACTGTGCAGAAGTCAAGGTCAATTTTGGTTGTCCCACAAGGCAGGACTGTTGGGGAGTTGGGTATTATTGGTTTAAATGACTTTTAAGTGGTGACTGGAGCTAGGATTAAATGAGATAATGTACATGAAAATACTATGTAAAGTGTGAAAGGTTATGTAAGTGCAATGTGTCAACACAGCTTTGACAGTCAGGTTGCACTGACAGTTCCTCTGGTGTCACTGAAGTGGAAAGTCCAGATGGCATCATCTCACACTGAACTCAGGAAACTGAGAAGACCCAGCATGCCCACAAGGAGCCCTATGGTGCACTGGTTAAAGCGCTGAGCTGTTGACTGAAAGATTGGCAGTTTGAACCCACTAGTTGATCTGCGGGAGAAAGGTGATGCAGTCTACTTCCTTAAAGATCAACAGCCTTGGAAATCCTCTGAGGTAGTGCAACTCTGTTCTATAGGGTCACTGAAAGTTGGAAACAAAGGGTAACAGGTAACATGCCCACAGCACCTCCTGGTGGTTTATTCCTGGAGTAGCAACTTTTCTAAGCCCACTCCCAACCCCAGCTGTACAAGATTACCCAAGCAACATACTTACTCCCTTCGCTCTGACTGTCTTTGTTCGAGTTGTAGACCTAGAAAATAGAAATAAAAACTTATTTGTGTGCATTTTATACCACCCTCCAGGTTCACTAAAGGAAAGCATTACCTTTCTTCTTTTTTGCCTTCCCCTTCCCCCTAGTTTGTATCATAAGGTAGAAGGCAATTTCCAGCCGCCAATCATGAACCCCATTCTATAATGATTTACTTTCCAGTATTTCCTTTAGCGGGAGCTCTGGTAGCATGGTGCCTAAGGCACTTGACTGTTAACCAGGAGGTGGCGGTTCAAACCCACCAACCACTCCTAAGAAGGAAGATGGGGCAAACTACTTCCATAGTGATACTGCCTCGGAAACCCTAGGAGGGGTCACTAAGAAGGGGTCACTATGGGTCGGGTTCAACTCGAGGGCACATAACAATAACATTTCATTTAGCAGTTCTTAAACGGCCATGCATCAGAATCACTTGTGGAACTTTAGTGTTAAAAAAATCCCAGCTCATCTTTACAAAAGCAAGAAACATGTGTGTATCTAAGCTAAAAAGGAGCCAAATTAAAAAAAAAAAAGTTAAAAGTAATTAAGAACTGTGCACCAGGCAGTGTACTAAGCACTTCACATGAATTCTCTCAATCTGTTAGGTAGAAACTGTTATTATCACTGTTTTACCAATGGAGAGGTTAACTAAGGTCCTACAACTAGAAAGTGGCAAGTCAGGACAAAAATACATTACCAACTGTCAAATGTAACACTGAAGTACACAGCTAAACACTTTTTACTTTACACATTTCATGAATCTTACTGTTATAAAGAGAATTTATTATTTTTTACAATTAAAATCCCTTAAATTATTAAATTATATACCAAATATAGAAAAAGGAAAGTGACTCAATATAAAATGGACCGTGACATATGGCAGGGATTGGCAAGTTTTTTCTGTAAAGGGCCAGACAGTAATAAATATTTTAGGCTTCATGGGCCAAGAGAAAAAATTGAGGATATTATGTACATAATGAGAGAAAACACATTTCCACACAATTTTTTGCTGACAAAATTCAAAATATAATAATAATAATTAAGCTTTTTTTAAAAATTCCAGTCCAATAATGAAAAAATGGGACTCTTTTGGGGGAAGAAAGATAATATTTCACTTACTTAGGGTCCAAAGTTAGTGTTCCTAAGGTCAAATCAATTGCAAATGTTTGTCTACAAATACCACATTTACCTCACAGGCTATATCATACAAAAGCAGGTGTTTACTGAATTTAGTCATGGGCCATAATTTGCCCATACCTGATAATACTGCCACCATTAAATAAGATGAAACCTCTTAGAAGAGAAAAAAAAATCACAGCACCCTAATTCTTCAGTGATTATTCTGTAGGTATAGAAAGGCATAGGTGGTAGCTAGTCATCACAACTAAAAATATAAATAAATAAAAGATATTCCAAGTGATTCGATGGCACTCTCAGTTGAAAACCATTTACTTAACTCCAAAGAACCAAAGGTAAGCATCTCTGAAAAGAGAACAATTAAATTCAGAAAGGGATTTTTCACTTGCTAGGAAAATGGTACGAAATAGCTGACTGATCAAGAGCTGGCAACTGTGTCCAACTTGGCCCTTTAGTTGCCTTGTTTCATCAGGCAAGTACCTTAACCTCTCTGGTCTTCTACTGCCTCATCTGTAAACTGAAGAAGTTGGCCAAGAAGTTCTTTTAATTATCAACCTCAGACACTCAGTTTTATTATTATTATTCATTTTCTAAAGAAGACTAAAGCTGGACAGTCAATTATTGAAGGGCAGTAAGATGATAAAATGAACAGGTTTCTGTACCTAAGGAGGACTGTCTGACGAATGAAAAGTTACCAGTGTATATAGCCTTAAAAGTTTTAGAGATAAGAAGTCAAAGACTTTGACTTTGGCTATGGACTTCACTATCAGTTATTTCATTTTGCTGAGCCTTAATTTCTTCATCCACAAAATGGAGGTGATGACAGTAATCCTGTTTACCTCTCCCAGGGTCATAATGAGGATCAAATTAACAGGACTTCCAATCAGTTCAAAATAGTTCATTCATAGCCAGTAGAGTGTATGTGTTACATAGCAACAATTTTTTTTTTTTTTTAAATTTAAACTTGTATTGTGATTTGGGTGAAAGTTTACAGAGTAAATTCATCTTCCATACAGCAGTTCACATATATTTCGTCTCATGACTTTGACTGCAATCTCCCACAATGCAACAGCTCTCCTCCCACTTCCTCCCCATAGCCACCTCTTCCCTTTGTTCTTCCCTCCCGTGCACTCCTGCCCCCCAAGCAGTCTCCCTGTGCATACACAGCCCTTCTATTCTCCCCTGATTGATCTCTCCAAGGAGTGTATCTACCTAATCTAAATGTTCAGCTCATATGCCTGTCTTTTGTTTGGCTGGAAGCCATAGGAGTGGGTTCAATTCCCGACCTGAAGAGCAGTTAGGGGTCATAGTCTCAGTGGTTCCACCAGGCTCTATCAGACCAGCAAACCTGGTTCCTTTTTGTTTTATGATTTTGTGCTTTGTTCCACATTGTTCTCCCATTCTATCCAGGATCTTCTACATAGATGCCCCTCTGAGTGGTTGGCAGTGGTAGCCGGACACCATCTAAACAACCAAATCCCTTGGACATGGATTTTTGACTGGAGTATGAAACAGGCAGCAATGTCCCACTCAAAGATGATAGCTGACTGTGCACCACTTTGAATGTGTGTCAGCCACCATCTTGAGTGGGGCACTGCTGCCTGTTTCATACTCCAGTCAAAAACTCACGTCCAAGAGATTTGGTTGCTATATAATATGTACACTCCATCAACCATGAATGAAGTGTTTCAAACCAGTTTGAAGCCCTGAAAATTAGGTTGTGAAAGAGATATATTGAAAACTCTAAAAAGCATGATATATATGCAAGTGCTTCAGATTTTGCTACAGAGGAAAGAATGGCTTAATATTCAGGGGATTTGGGAGGAGAACAAAAGTCACTACAAAGTCTGCTAATTTCTTTCTATAACACAAGGAACACAGTTGCCTGCTCTCCTTGGGAAGCACTTCCACCATCTATAAAAATGAAGAATCTACACTTGATCACGGTTTTCAAATCAAATTCCATGGCACATGCACAGGAAATGGCAAAGGGTTGGGACAAAAGCTATGACTACAGGTATCCAAATGTCCCCTCCCTTTGCTTGTATTGATTTTACTTATTTGGCCATTAAACAAGGTGATACTGACACTGAAAAGCTTAAAGACTTCTTGAATGGATAATTTCTACAATTAATTGTAGTTCATTCATTTGTTTTGGGAGCCCTGGTAGCATAGTGCCTAACACATTTGACTGCTAACCAGGAGGCTGGCAGTTCAAACCCACCAGCCACTTCTCGGAAGGAAGGTTGGGCAATCTACTTCTGTAGTGATAAACTGCCTCAGAAACCCAAGGAGGGGTCACTATGAGTTGGGTCTGATTCAACGGCACATAACAACAACAACAATTTGTTTATTTATTCATGCATTCAGCAAATATTTATTGAGTGTCCTTAATGGACAAAACCTACTGCTATTAAGTCAATTCTGACTTATAGCTACCCTTTAAGAGCTCTGGTGGCACAGTGGTTAAAAGCATTCAGCTGCTCACCAAAAGGTCAGCAGTTCAAACCCAACAGCTGCTCTGCAGGAAAAAGATGAGACAGTCAGCTTCCGTAGAGGTTTACAGCCTTAGAAACCCTATAGGGCAGTTCTAAAAGGTCACTATGAATTGAAATTGACTCAAAAGCAGGTTTTTTATTTGTTTTTTTTTTTAAAAATAATAGCCAGGCAATGTTCTAGGTGTGAATAAGAGTGTTACAATCTCTGTTCTCATGAAATCAGTCTACTAATGAAGACGACAGAAATAAACAGGTGAACAAACAGAATTATTCCAAATACTAAGTATACAGTGGAGAAAGTAAAAGTACTGTGAGCCTGAGGTCAGAGCAAAGCTTCTCTGAAAAAGTGATACTTTCATGAGACTTGAATGATGAACTGGGGCCTCCTGATGAAGATCTGGGAGCCAATGCCAACAGCAAGTACAGGTCCTTGATATGGGGGGAAAAAATAAAGATCTTTTGGAGGGAAGGAAGCCAATGTGGTTGGCAATCAGTGCAAGGCAGAGAATGGAAGGAATGAGAATGAGAATGGAGCATGAGATGGGAGGTACAGTGACTCAACCCGGGAGAGCCTTGTGACTCGTGAATGAAATGGGGAGCCTCCTAATATAGCCAGGGACAGTAATCCAAGGTGACTGACTTTCACTAACCCTGGAAAGTTGGGTAGGGTAAGGGAAGGACAGGGACAAGGACTATTATTCTCACCCATCACTAATCACTGAACTCTTTCTATTATATTCAAACAGTGTATCCACAGAAATTCACTCCAATTTATAAACTGCATCCAGAAGGAATAGCAAAACATGAGGCTTTCAGTCCTCCTTAATTATGAGATGAGTTTGTGCCAAATTACTTTCCTTCAAGGTTTCCTGAGTCTCAGGAGAGCCCTTCCTGAAACACCCAAGCATTCTCTGAACAGGAGGTGTGACCAATGAGCTGAAAAAGCCAGAATCATGTGCCACCCATTCCTCTGAGGCCAGACCATTAATCTCTGTCTGATTTGGGTAAAAGAGTCAAAAAGAATAAGTTTTGAAATGAAGCTAACAAATCATGCCCACCAGGACTGTTGACTACAAGGATGCAACGAGGCCCAGAGAGGGGAAAGCAGTCTTGCTGCCATGGAAGTGTCACAGGTGGTGGCAATCGAAAAATAAGAGGGAATGGCTTTGTTTACTGAGATCTTATCAAGTGCCATACATCATGTCATCTAATTCTTATAACCATCATATGGGTTAGGTACTAGTGTTATGCCCATGTGACAGATGTAAAACCTGAGGCTCAGAGAGATTACACAGCATATCCAAAGACACAGAGCTAGTAAGTAGCATAGTACTGTATCTTGCATGTCTTAGCTGTCTAGTGCTGCTA